ATTGGACTGGCCTGTGGCCATGTCTGAGGGGCATCTTCTTGATGAGTGATGTGGGAGGGCCCAGCCCACTGTGGGGGGTGCTACCCCTGGGCAGGTGGGCCTGTGTTGTATAAGAAAGCAGGCTGAGCAGGGGCCAGGGGACCAAGCCAGTAAGCAGCATTCCTCCATGCCTGGTGCTTCACTCCTGCCTCCAGGTTCCTGCCCTGAGTTCCTACCTTATGTTCACTCAGTGATGAACTGTGACCCAGGAGTTGTGAGCCAAAAAAACCCTTTCTTCCCCTAGTTGGTATTGATCAGAATGTTTTGTCACAGCAATTGAAAAGAAGCTAGAACATGTCTTAAAACCAAATGCAAAATCTCATCCAGCAACTGACTAGATTACAATGCTAGGTGAATTCTCTAACCTTTAGGGTATCTGCTGTGAAAGTAGGGACATTGGTAGTGACAAATGGACCCTAAATTTGGAATGGGCAAGTGTAATAAGACTTTGTAAATCTGGAAATATTGAATCTTAAATTCTGATGAGTCTTCTTCAGGTAAGAAGGCCCTTATGTCCCCAGTGGGAACAGGCTATCAGGGACGATAATGTGTTGCCTAAAAAGACGATGATGTCCTCTTCTGAAGGAGCTGCCAGGCCAGACAAGGCTGATCCTTCTCATGACACACTCTTCCCTCCCTTACTGCTTCTGTACCTGTAACTGACCTCGAGTTACTGCAGGCTCCAGCATCAAGGAAGAAAGAGGGCTCAGGAGTCATATTATACTCCATAAGAAATACTTGGGTTTTTCAATTTATATAAAAAAATCTAGAGAACATATGTGAAAAATAGATATTAAGGATGGTCTTATTTTTGGAGGAGTATAATGTTGGATCTGGGTGAATTTATTGATACGGATTTATCAAGCAGGAATGCTTCATTAAATGCCATAGCTCGGGGGGAGTTAAGAGGGCTCAGAAAATTTCTTTGTTTGAAATACAGATCAAAGCACGACTCATGTGAGTGAACTAGAAATGATACACCTATCTTGTTTTAATATCAAGGAGGGATTCAAAGGTTTAGAAATAATGTTTGTCAAGACTTATTCACTAAACCTGGAAGGTCCCAGAGACACACCTGCACCATTGTGGTGACACATTTGTGAAGGCAGTGGTGTACTCATATGAGTATGTGTGTGCATGTGTGTGTATGTGTGTGTAAAAGTTCTGGATGCTCAGGATGATGACTAGTAGGGCCCAGGATGGGAGCTGTGTGCCAGTAATGGAGAGGTTTGGTGACAGAGGGTAATTGGCAGCTTCTGTTAACACAAGTTGCTTTGATCACAGAAGATGAAATTGGATCCCAAGGCCTGACAGACTAGAAGCAGTGAGCTCACGCATGTGAAAGCTAACTAGGACAGCTTTCAGTCCAGTCCAGTCACTGTGTTTCCTACTGCAGCATGGACACAGCCACTCTTCCCCGACTCCTACTGTCCTGTCCCTAGTTGTGCTTCCTCCCATCTACCTTATTCTCTGCTTCCTGTCACATTCCGTTTCACTAAGTGTTGAACAAACCTAGTGTAGATATCCTCAACGAAAACACGGGAGAAAAGTGTTAGCACTGTAAGAAAATAGGTCCATTAAGCTAGAAAGTGACTTGGTGATCATAAATTGAAATATTACATTTAACTGCAAAATTTTACACTTTACCAGTTTGAGATTTGTCTCCTTACCCCTAGAAGGTTCTGATATAGTGTTGCCATTTGGTTTGTTGTCATTTTGTTTTAATAAAGAATGAGTTCTTTGAGGGTTTTGCATGCCCTTCATCTCTGGTGAGTGATTTAGATAGCAACCAGAGTTGAAAACACAGGTTAGGGAAGAATCAACAGTTTTACCCTCATCTGGTTCCATTACCCAGGGTCTGTGTCTTTCGGTTACATATTTCATGTCAATCAGAGTCCTCAGATTGCTGCTGATCTTTCTGATATGATGAGGAAGGAGTTACATTCAGATCTTTGGATAAATTTGAGCAGCCTGAATTGTTCTGTACCTCTTGGTCTGAAATTATGCTGGACAAACGGTTTAAATATGCGTATGGTATTAAGATTTGCTCATCTGGCCTTGTGTCTTCTGATTGCCAGTCCTTTGGTTGCTGGCATGTATCTTCTGTGTGTACTTGCTGTCTTTTGTCTGTAAACTGTCTACATATGTATCTTCTCTCATGACACTGGATTCCAACTTTTGCTGCCCATTGTCTTGGCAGAGGCCTACATGTAATAGAAACTTTTGTAATTGACAGTCTTGGTCATGTTGGGCTGCAGGACTGTGAGTTTCTTGGTATAGAGCTTTTTGCCTTAGGGATTCTCTTTCTAACAGTTCTTGGGATTCCCATTCAAGGGAAGGCTGAACTTCAAACTGCCATTCTTATGCTTTCCAGTCTTTGTTCCTCCAACCTTGACTTCTCCAGTCTTGGGATCCCTTGCTGGTGAATTGCCAACTTGGAGTTGTCTAGTATGAACATGACTTTTCTGGGGATTGAAGGCCTTGGTATCCCTTGCTTTGGAAGTCCCAATCCTGACAGAGTTTCTTTGGAGTTCTCATTACTAACACTGGTTGTCTTTCCACTCGCCAGTTTGGGGACTGGGTCTTTGGGGATTTCTCCTCTTGGGTCTGCCACTCTTCAACTAGTCCAGCTTGAGCTCGTCGCTCTGGGGGCTGCTCCTTGTCAGCCTCCTGATCTTTGGGCTCTTCCTCTGGAGATTTTTCTTCAATGGCTTTTTTGTCTTCATTTTACCTAACTTGGGATTGTTGTATTGGGACCTCCTTCTCTTTGACTTCCTGATCTTTATCTTGCTGATATGGGAACTGCTCTGAGGTTTGAGTATATACATCTTGTGTCTGGGTGGTGGTGTGCTTCTTTGGGGCTAGCCAGCCTTTGATTTGCTGATCTATAGATTTCTGTCTTGAAGTTTTCCTTTGTATGTCTAAGAAATATCTCCTTGGGAACTGCTCACCTTTGCGTTGCAGGTCTAAGGAATGTCTCTTTGGAGGGAACTGCCCATGTTTGACTTGCAGGTCTAAGGAAAATCTTCTCGAGGATTTCTTGCCTTCAGTAGCTTTCCATTCTTGGGTCAGTTCCATTACTTCTGTTTGGATGTCTTGATAAATTATTTCTGAAGATTGCTCACTTTGAAGTTGAGTGTTTTGTATTTGAAATTCTTAGGATGACATGTCTTGGGATGACATATCTTGGGTTGGTATGGTTTGGGATGTTTTGTCTTCAGATAGCACATATTGGTATTGTATGTCATGGGACGATGTGTCTTGAGTTAGTGAATCTTGGTGTGGAATGCTTTGAGATGGAGCATCTTGGTATGGCACATCTTGAGTCAGTGAGTCTTGGTATGGTATGTCTTGGGATGGAGTATCTTGGTATGACATATCTCAAATCAGTGAGTCTTGGTATAATGTGTCTTGGGATGAAGTACCTTGGGATGGTACCTCTTGAGTTAATGAGTCTTGGTATGGTATATCTTGGGATGGAGTATCTTGAGATGGTGATTCTTGGTATGGTGTGTCTTGGGATGGAGTATCTTGGGACGGTACCTCTTGAGTTAGTGAGTCTTGGTATGGTGTATCTTGGGGTACTTTGTCTTGAGTTAGTATGTCTTGGGATGGAGTTTCTTTAGATGATATTTCTTGAGAGAGGAAATCTTCATTTGTCAGATCAAAAGACTCTAAAATATAAGATGATGGGGGTTTAGACTGCAAGACCTGTGTTGACAGGGCTTCTATTAGAGTTTGGGATGATAAATCATCAGGTAACAAAGCCAGATTATGTGAAGATGGCCTTTTAAGAAGTTGGATTGAAATGATTTCATCTTCAAGTGATTTGGCATTCATTTTAGAGGTTTGCCATATAGCAGATTCCAGGTCCTTATCCTTCAGCTGATTCGTTCTAGAATTTTGCTGAGTAAGAATATTTTCTGAAGACCTTGGCTCTACTATGGGAGGTAAAGGGTACAGCTCAGTCTCTTCCCTTGCAGATTTGAAAAGTGGATGAATACACTCTTCTTCATCTGGAATGTGTATAGAAGATGTACCTTTACTACTTGTCTGTGGGATATTTGGAGGAAATAAAGGACTTCTTGAGACTCTTAACTTGAAGAAAGCATAACCTCCTAAGAAAATGGCTTGCATGCTTGAAGTTGTATCATCCAAGGGAGATTTTCCTTGAAGCTCAAATTGTAACTGAGCATTATCTTCTGGGGCAGGCTGTTCAGTGTATGGATGAATATCCGAAGGAAAGAAAAACACAGCCTGTAATACCAAGGGAACAGGAGGGTATTAAAATGACAGACAGAATAATCTTCAATGCCATTTTCTTTCTGTATCCTACAATTATTTTTCATCTCTCATGTAAGATTGTAGGTAGGAAACAGATGAGGGGTCAAAAGACAAGTACCTTTCCTGCCTTTACCATCTATCCATCATCATTCATTTGGATAAGTCATTATCTTTATTATCTTAAATATTGAACAGGAGAATTTGATTAAGATTGCCTCAGATATTTCTCTCGTACTGAACAGCATAAAATTTCTAGGATATTTTAAGCCATCAAGTTAATACTTGTGTATGAAGTTCTAATCTATGATTTATTGATGATGTAGATAAACTAAATGTTGGTGATCAAAGATAGTCAGATGAGTTTTCCCTTAAAGTGCTCACAATTACATGCAGACCAATATATAAGTAGAAAGTAATAAAATCACTGAGCACAATGCCCATTAATAGAAATAGGTAATAGATTATTTATGGGAACAGGGATGCTGACCTAATTCTAAAGCCAAGAAAGACCTCAGAGGAAAGGTGATATTTAACCTCTTGATAGATGAGTGGGAATTCCTTAGGCAAGAAAGTGAAGATGAAGTAAGACCAGAGACAAAATTCAGGTAGTGGGAACAGTGGTCACAAAGTCATGACACAGCAAGGTATGATGGCAGGTGATGAGCCGCTAGAAAATACCAGGGGTTATGAGACCCTAGGAAACCTGGATCTGCCTTTACACTTAAGAGAGGTCTAATATTCGATGCAACCTTCCATCAGTGCCTCCTGTTCCTGTTCTTTCTGAAACTATTCTTCACCTGTTTCAAAGGAGTTTTCACTGTAGTCTACCAGTTTGTGCCCTTTCTGAGATTGTCCATAGGCTCAGAATACACTTTTTTTTTTTTTTTTTTGTATTTGGCAAAGTGGTGGGAACTCAGTGATTAAATGAACTTCACCATACTCAGGCAGTGGGTTAATGGCAAGTATAGATCAAGAGTATATGCATTCTCTTATTTCCACTGCCCATATTTCAATTCCATTAGAGGCCCGATTATAACAGGATAAATGATAAACATCTTTTTGAAAAGTTTTTTTTGTATTCTCGTTTATCCAAATTTTGTTTATTCAAATCTTAAGCACTATTATTTTAGATTTCCTCATCCTTAATGATGACTAAGTGATTACTAGGTGGCAGGCAAGGTTCAAAATTCATTGCAAGTAATTGTTAAAACATCATTATGAGGTCTTTATCCTTGTTTTATCACCGAGAAGGCTGAAGTTCTGCAATGTTAAGTAACCAGATGAGTGTCACAGAGATGTCAACTTGTAGTAGAACACTAGCTCCTGCATTCCCCTTCTGACCTATACTTTCTTATGATAACCATGTTGGTTGTGCTACCTGAGGGCGGCTACTACTGATGATCATAAGAAACAGGCAGATCTTTGTGAGTTTGAGGCTAGCCTGGCCTACATAGTGAATTCCAGGACAGTTGGGGCTACAGGGAGACCCTGTCTCAAAAAGACAAAAAAAAGAAAAGAAAAAGAAATAGTGCATTTAAATAGTAGTCAGTATAGAGGAATTTTCTCCTTTTATCTTGAAATCAGGGTTCATGTTACAGTGTCTTTGAATCACCTGTTCCACTCTGCACATTTCTATGCAAGAACAGAATAAAAAGCAGTATTAACAGAACTAAACTGAACAATTACTTAGTGTGAGTAATTTATTGTAATACTTTTCCTGCAGGGCCTCCAACTGGTTTTGGTACTTCTCTGTAGTTGTGTAATAAATATAATGTAAACATATACCATAGGGATATAAGCATACAATGAAAGTTAGAGCCAGCAGCCATTTATAATAAATATTCAAAGCAGAGCAAACTTACTCTGCATAAAGCCTGTAGATAATGCAATATTTAAGGGTACGATATTGGATTATTTAATCCAAAGATCAGAAACAAAATATAGATATAACACATTGTTAAACGTTGTATTGGAGACCCTACACAGTATATTTAACTCAGAAGAACAAAACAAAGTTTGGAATTAAAAATGGCTTCACAGGAAAAAGAGTTGTTTACCTAGAAAACTCTAGGACCTCTATACAAAACTACAAAACTTGTAAGCAAGTTCAATAAGATCATAGTGTATTAGTTCATAAACAACTGAATTTGGAAAAAATGTAAACATCACACATAATAAAAATACGAAATAATACATTTAATAGAATATGTGAAAACTCTTCAAAAATTGAAGAAAACCTGATTGGAAGAATATTGCCAACATATTCAATGAGACTATCATTACCTTAATATGAAATCAGATAAAGGTATCACAAGTAAAGAAACTTATAGCACAATAGCCCACATAAAGTCAACACAAAATTTCAATGAAATAAAAGTAAATTGAGTCTAACAGCATATCAAAGAGAATATTCATATGATCCATTGAGTTTTTGCCCAAAATACAAAGTAGGTTCAACTTACGAAAATCAGTATGTGTAAATCACATTATTATAATATAACCCCAAACTATACAGTCATCTCACTTGAAGAAGAAAAAGCATTTGACAAATTTAATACCCTTTAACATTCTTAAAAGATAATTCTTTAAAAAATATTTATTATTTTTAAAATGTTTTATGTGTATGAATGTATCACCTGCATGTATATAAGTGCGCCCATGTTGTGCAATGCCCATGGAGGTCAGAAGAGGGTATTGGATTTCCTTGGAGTTGGAATTACAGATTGTTGTTAGCTGCCATGTGGGTTCTGGGAATTGAATTGGGGTCTTCTGCAAGAGTAGCCAGTGCTCTTAATTGCTGAGCCATCTCTCCGGCCCTACAATAATATTCTTATTATGTATTTTCATCATATTCCTCCCTCCATGAACTCCCAGATCCACCCCCACCTCCTTACCCACCCAAATTCGTGTTGTTTTTATGATTATTATTATTCCTTGGAGTCCAGTTTGGGTTGCTCAAATACTCTTGGGTATGAAACCTGCCCAGAAACTATACATACCCTTAAAGAAAATTGACTCTTCCTCTCCCAGCAGCTATTAAATCCAATAAATCCTCAGCCAGAGGTGAGATTTCATGCCTATTTTCCCTTCATATAGGGATTTAGTCTGGCTTGAACTTGAGTAGATCTTGTGGGTGCTGTCACAATTGCTATGAGTGCATATGTGCAACTTCCTTGTAGATCCCCACTACCTATGGCTCTTACAATCTTTCCAACCCCCTTTCTACGAAGATCCTAGAGCCTTGGGCAGAGGAGTGTGATAGAGAAGTCCCAATTAGGGCTGAGCACCCCACAGTTTCTTATTGCCCCTGTTAACCAGTTGTGAGTCTCTGTGTTAACTGCCTTCTACTGAAAGAAGGAGCTTCTCTGATGAACACTGAGATTTGCACTAATCTATGGGTATAGGTCATTAGGAGTCTTTTTAATATGGCATCATTTAATAGAATATTAGTAGTAGGCAACAATGCCTGCTTTCAGTATTGGTATTCAAGCTTGCACTGAGTTCTAGGTAGGAAGTAAAACTTACCCAAATCAGAAAAGAAGACAAGCTATCCCAACTTGCAAATAGCATGATCATGCTATATAGAAAAATCCCTCTAAATTCATAAGCTACTAGAGTTAACCAAAGAATTAAGCACTGTTTAAGGTATAATATTATTGTTGTTTCAATAAAAATAACCATCCTCAGGAAGTTAAAAAGTAATTTCATTTATAGTATCCTTTAAAAGAATTACATACTTAAGAAAAATGTCAAATTAAGGGGATGGAAAACTTCTCTGCTAAGCCCCCAAAACATTGCTGGAAGTAATTGGAAGACCTAAACAAGTGGAGAGCATCCCATGTAGAGAAAGCCTTAAAATAGGTCAGTGCTGAGCACAGAACTGTACAGATTCAATATTATCCTTGTCAAAATACAAATAACCTTTTCCTCAGTTATATAAAAACTCTTTCTCACATATAGGGGACCTTAAGGGACTCTGAGTAAACAAAATCATTGAAATAGAAGAATATCTGAAAAATAATAACTCTCAGCTCTGAAACTTACCATAAAGCTATGGTAAGAGGGAAGAGTAGATAAAAAAGTAAGCCCAGACCAACACATATAGGGTTAATTGAGTTCAACAGTGGTGCCAGGATCATTCTGTGGGAAAGGACAGTCTTCTATGACAAACAGCAGTAGGAAAATTGGACTGCCACATGCCAAAGAATGAATAATTGAACCCTTTTCCCAATACCATATACAAAAATTAACTCAAAGTGGATCGAGGATTAAACTTAAAAGCTAAAAATGTGCCCTAGTGGGGCCTTGTCCCTCTTCATTTCCGTTGCCCTAGAGTGGCATTGTCCATGTTCAGGGCAAATCTTCACTCTTTCCTTTCTGGAAAAGCCCTCCCAGACAAGCTCATAGGCATGCTTTAGTAACCCAGACTCTTCTGAGTCCAATCAAGTTGGCAATCAAGATTTATCATCACAATTGAATTTGGCAAAGAGTTCATGGAGAAGACAACAGAAGAGGGCCTGGGAGAGGGCTCAGTTGGTAAAGTGCCTGCTGCCTCAACATGAAGATCTGAGTTCAGATTCTCAGAACCCATGTGAAAATGTTGAGCATGGCGGCATATTCCCGAGAGCCCAGCCTTGGGGGGATGGAGGCCGTGGCTCCATTCCTTAGCCATCCTACCTAAATCCACAGGCCTCAGTTCGGTGTAAGACTCTGTCTCTAAAAGAAGAATGGAGACTAGTTGAGGATAGACCCAGTGTGGGCCTTGTGCCTCCACATATAAGCTCACACATGTGCATATACACATGCATGTGCACAAACCACACAAACACATGCACACACCACATATCACAATACCACACACATGAGCATATGACAACAAAAGAAAAAAATACATATACTTGATAAAAATAAGTAGCTCAGACTGCATTGGAAATGCTGTCAAGAATGTAAATAAAATTACAGTCTGCAGGGATACAGGGGGGAAATATTTGCAAACCGTGCAGTCAATAATGAATTACTAAAGTGTATATATTAAAACACTACAACTCATCAACAACAAATGAACAACCTAACTTAAAAATGGGTAAAGGCATATAAGCACTTCTCCAAATTCTATCCCTGCAAATAAGCAATGGTTGGGAAATGCAAATTAAAACTTTTGAGATGATAGGACAGAACTGTATCTTCACTGTGATGATAGGTGAACAGGTATGTATGTACACTTTGTCAAAATTCTTACAATGATACACTAAAAATGAGTGCATTTGAATGTCTAAAGTTGACTTGGAAAGCAAGCGTTGGGCTGGAGGGATGGCTCAGTAGTTAAGAGCAGTGACTGCTCTTGCAGAAGACCTGGGTTCAATCCCCAGCACCCACACGGTGGCTAACAACCATCTGTAACTCCAGTTCCAGGAATATGACATCCTCTTCTGACCCTCATAGGCATTGCACTACACAGGTGCATTTACATACATCACTTACATACATGTAGGCAATACACTCATATATATATATATGTAATGAATAAAATCTTTTTAAAAAGCAAGTGTCAGCGTGGTGGGATATACTTTTAATTCCAGCACTTAGGAGGCAGGGGCAGGCAGATCTCTGTAAGATGGAGGCCAACTTGGTCTATATAAAGTGTTCCAGATCAGCTGGGCTACAGGGAGACCCTGTCTCTAAAAAAGAAAACTAAACAAACAAAAAACCCAAATAAGCAAACAAATAGACAAACAAACCCACACCAAATAAAGAGTGGTGGTGTAACTTAGAAAGCAAGGTCTGGAGCTGTACCACACAAGTCAGAATCCTGATGTTCTGTGATACTGAAAATGTTAACTAACCTCTTTATGCCTTGGTTCTTTCCTATGGAGAATGAGGGTATTAATATAATTTTTGGTTAAGTTGGTACTCAAGTTATCACAGTGACTGACATAGTAAATAATCAGTGAATGTATAAGTGCCCATGTCACAGTGTTATGAGTGTCCCACAAAGTTCTGTATTTCTTGCATTTTGGCGGGGGGTGGGGCAAGTAAAGAATTATGTATGAACAAGGATGACAGGACAGTAGCTAGGAAAGGAATGGAAGGCAAGTTACCTCAGAGAGTAGGGCAAGCTCCAGTCTTAAGCTCAGCCCCTCTCTGACCTTCCTAAATTTAGAAGTTCAGTATCTGAGCATGCTGCTATGCCCACTAACAGGAGTCACTGTGGAGTGTGCCAGTAAGAAGCAGTTCTCAGGCTTGAGACATGGCTCAGTGGCTAAGTGCTTGTGTGCAAGCCTGACTGCCTTCAGGTGAAATGTAGTAGCATAAGCCTCTTTTTACCCAGTGTACCCTTAGATAGAGGTGGAGGCTTACAGACAGGAGAACCTCTAAAAGCTTGTAGGCCAGCTAGCCTGGAGAATGCAGCAGTGAACAACAGGTGAGACCTTGCCTCAAAACAAGGTAGAAGTGAGGACCAACTCCAGAGGGTTTTCTCCAGCTTCCACCTGAACACTGTGGCATGCGTGTGCACGCACACACACACACACAGACACACAGACACACAGGTGCATGTGTGTGTGCACACACACACACACACACAGACACACACAAACAGAATTAGGTCTCCTGGCAACCTTGAACATACCTTATTTGAACTTGTCCAGCACTTGCTCCTAAAGAATACAATAGTCACAGAGATGCTGAGCTCTGCTATGGTGACAATTAGTAAGACTGACAAAATTCCCTGCAGAAAAGGAGGAAAATAAATCATATTTAGAACAAAACAGCCTCATTTTAGATACAGAAGACAAAAGCTTATTACAATCCAGGACCAAGTTAGGTAAAACACGTATTTCTGATGTTCTCTAGCTGGTAGACATTGCATACTTTCTATGTCTTTCTGGTAAGGCCTGGGTAACAAGCTCCAACGTCAATAGGGTCAAGATAGCATCTATAGCATCTAAAGCCAAACGTGAGGTGAGACAGTGGCGAGAAATTCTGCCGTTCAGTTCCAATGAATTGTTTCTATGTGGAAACATGGTACTTTGATGCTGGTTTTTCTTTTTCCTAAGGAAGCTAGATATGCACATTTTCGAAGTGAAATTTTCAGTTATATTTTCACTCATGTGAGTCAGATAAAACATATCTGCAAAATGAATATACTGTACACATTGCCATTTTGCAGATGTCGCTTTCAGGTAATAATTATTTTGAGAGGCATGATGGTATAGTGTGGTATCCAAAGCTTATTAAATATTAGAAGCAGGAAAGCTGGGTAAAATTGGGTTACACTTATCTTGAACACATGACTGAAGCTCTCTGAACCTCAGTTTCCTTTGAATACATCCATAAGCTTAGATGTCACCTTTGTTGCTAAAACTGAATTGTGTGCAGACCCTGCTGTATCCAAATCCTTGGCTTCTGCCTTTGAACAGAATAAGACTGGTCCAGGTCTTTGAGAAGCTTATATCATATGTACTTGGACCAATTGGGGCAGGCTCTTAGCCTTTATAATTGTTTTCTGACTTTCCATAGTAACCTAAATCTAATTCTGGAATTTATCTCAGGACACATGAAAAGGTCTTTTAGTCCACTTCAGTGGGTGATTATGGTGATTAAATAAGATCTTATGGGTCTGGAGAGATGGCTCAGTGGTTAAGAGCACTGCCTGTTCTTGCAGAGGCCCTGGGTTTGGTTCCCAGTACCCACATGGCAGCTAGCAACCATCTGTAACTCCAGTTCCAAGGGAATCGGACACCCTCTTCTGACCTCCTTGGGTATTGCATGATACCACATGCAAGTAATACACTCATACACATTAAAAAAAAAAATCTCACATTTAGTGGTTGATAGTTCTCTTCCATTTCCTTACCATGACTCTACTTTACTTCTGTCCTAAATGGTTCAAATTTAAAAATTTTAGGACCCAAGTCTTCAAGATGCAGTTGGTGGGAATAGATTATAACCCTGATGTTTGCTTATGGATCAGAAACAAAGGCCTATTGTAATCTTTGACATGATTAAAAATAATGTCAGGACAAGTAAGATGGCTCAGCAGGTAAAGGCACTTGATACTAAGCCTGACAACCTGAGTTTGATCCCCCAGAAACACATGGTGGATGGAGAGAACAAACTTCTGCAAGTTGTCCTCTGACCTTCACCTGCATTATGGTATTGGTGCACCCACATACATTACCCCTCCCCAAAATAAATAAATGTAAAATAAATAAGAATAAAAATAATTTCATATGCTACTTAAAACTATAGACACTTAAGCTGTGTCTTTATTTGTCTTGGTAAAGGAATATCTCATTTGCCTTACTGAATAAAATTTATGCAATTATATAAAATGATTAAATCATGTGTTAAAATGATTGAAATGCCTCACTTCTTACACACTTTCTCCCACTGCACTGTATTTTGTCTCATGTCAATTGAGCACTCTTTGATCAGTGGAAAGGTAAAATTTAATCCAATTGATGTAAATAATAATACCTAAATCTCATGACTATTGACTCTTTACCAGGTATTATTATTTATTTATTTAAATATTTTATTTATTATTTTTATTTTATTTTATGTGTGTGCCTGTATTGCTTGCATATGTGTAAGTGTACCCGTGTTACGCAATGCCTGCAGAGGACAGAAGAGGCTGTTGGATCCCCTGGAACTGGAGTTACTGACAGTTGTTAGCTGCTATGTGGATGCTGGGATTCGAACTCAGGTCTTCTTCAAGAGAAACAGTCAGTGTTCTTAACCAGCCATCTCTCTAGCCCCCAACCAGGTATTATTTTAAATAGTCCTCACCACATCTCAGTGAAGCAGCTATTATTAATTTTCTACAAGGGGCAAACTAAGGTGTGGGGAGTCTACCTGTCAAGCCAAGATCATCACAAGCTCGCATGATTGAGCTAAAACCAGGGATAGAAATCCTGAGAGTTCAGCTGCAGAACCAACTTTACTGTCATTCAACAGGCTCTCTGAGGAGTCAGTTCAGATGTTGATACAGATTCCATTACCGGCGTAAAAACCAATTCGTCATTGTGTCGTGGACACAGATTGGCTTAATATTAAGCAGATTCCTCATTCAAAACTAAATTACTTACAAGGAGAAGTGTTCTACCTATGACACATGTTCCTTCAAGGGATGGCATCTGGCAGAATTTGTGTTGTTGTGTAAAGCTGATAAGGATCAAAGCAGTCCCAGCCAAGGCAGCCAGGATACTGATGGTATTCATGCTCACGACTCCTTGTCCCTGGAAAACCATTTCAAAGAATGATCAAGTACATAAAAACTAAGCCAAAGTTAAAACACATTGAAAGAAATTGCTAGAACTCTTTAATATTTTTAGAAATTTCATCAGGTCAATGTTATCAGAAGACTTGATAATTAAATTTTGATTCAGGTCATAAGACGAGCCCAGGTTTAGAATGGGCCAACACTGCTTTGTGGTTATTGAGACTGAAAATGTTCACTTCAGCAGCAAACCATCTTTGACAATCGGAAGGACCAGGTGTGCAAGAAAGCAGTTCAACCTGGAAATCGGACTTGATTTTGAGTCTTGGTTTCATTAGAACTTGTACTAATTAATCTATCAGAATCTCAATTTCTACCTTTAAAAATGAGAATGACTTTAGGGTAGTACCCTTTCGTTTATTTCCTATAAATTTAGTGTCTACTAAATATGTGCCAGACATGGCATTAGGCCCCAGATGTATAAAGATGCATGGAACAACTGACACCCCACTGTCATGTGACTCCTATATTTGCCTCAAGAGAATTCATTTAATGATGACCAGCAAACTCATGAACATTTTTAAAGATGGTAAAATTGGTACTGGGGGAATTAAAAAGTCCCTTTGTTGATCTCAGTGTTCCAACATGGAAGGCATAAGAAGTTGATTCCTTTTATTCATTCCAAGCATACTTGATGGGGGAGGTATGTGTATCTGAGTTCCTTACAAGAAGGGGGACATTGTACTATTTTCTTCACGACTCACTTTTACTACTTCAAAAGGGCAAAAATATCTCAGCATGTTGTGTTACATCTGTTGTGGTTGGAAATGCAGTAATGCATTTACAGAGCCTTTTCCTAAAGCTGTGTGCAGCATAGTGTGGCAAGATTTGGAAGTACATTTATGACTGCTTAATCATAAAGTGAGATCTATATTGCAAACTGGCTTTGACAAAAAATAAAAAGGGACATGCCTATATACGCCATCTCATTCCATCGTAAACCTTTTGTGTCTCCAGGCTCTATTTTGCTCACACAAAACATCTAATAGATTAAAGTCTCTAGATGTGCAATCACCCAGCATCAGTCTTATCTGATCCTTATAATGGGATTATAATGTAAGGCAGGTCACTTGTTACCCCTGTTTTAAAGATGGATGGGATTTAAGAATCAAGTGACTGAGAAATTTTACACTTGGTAGAAGAGCTATGATGAAAAACCAGTTGTCCCAATGCCTTGCTTAGCATTCCTACCCCATGCATTATGCCCACTTCCGTCTCTAGAGCTTTTCGGGTGACTCCTGTTGTCATAGGAGGCCTTCCAGTGTCTGAAAGGATGCTTAAGACATCCCTGGCTCCTACCCTTTACCTGCCATTTGTACCCTCTACCCAGTTATGACCACCAAAAAATATCTTTAGACATTGTGAACTATTTCTTGGGGGAGGAGAAGGAACAAACTACTCCCATTTAAGAATTGCTTAGTTATAGCAATATATAATGATTTCTAGTGAATGGTCAGTTTCCTTGACCAGGGAAATGGGAACAAGTGTAAGCATCCAGGGCTAATGGTGGCATGATTTTTACCGTAAATTAGATTTTTCCGAGAAATACTAAAATGTTTAAGCCACGGATAATACAAACCAAATAGATTTGAAATTACAGAGAAGTCATAAAAGTGACTTACCAGAATTTGTTTTGATTTGTCATTGAATATTGTGACAAATCCTGTGAGAAGAAACTGTTAAGAAGAAAAAAAAGCAAAAGTTAGCAGGTGACGCTTTTGACCTGTTTGCACACAGTCATCTTTGGATTTAAAACTGTTTGTAAACTACCCAGACCATCTAGTCTTTCGTGAGCATTAAGGAGGAAGGGGCTGAGTCCTTGTTTTAATTCCATCTCTAGGATTTGATATTGGCACCTGAGGACATTTGGATCTTGAAATCTAAAATCCTTATACTGTAGCACAGAGGATCAGAAAAGTTTCTGTCGGTACCTTCCTCTAACTCACATGGCCTGCCTACCTCCAAGTCACTTTCAAAGCTGTCCTCTGTTATTGTCATTGCTGTCCAGCTAATTCACAGTATTTCCCAGTTGGTTTTCCCAGGATGGCTGTTGAGTTAATTTGCCACTCAAGAACACAAGGATATGTTCTTTTAATGAGAACAAGCCTTTCAATGTCACCACCCTCTTTAGAAATTGCCAAGAGCTAATATTTCCTCTTATGTTGAAGTTACACATCCTTTCATGACCCAGGAGGGCTGGCACAACGTGGCTCTACTTTCTGTTTGTGGTCTCATTTTTTAAAGACTTGTTTTTGCAACTTCACAACATATCTGCAATCTACTGAGATCGTGTTCACCCCTATCCATTTCTTTCTCTCTTCCATCCCGCATCATATGATCCAGCTGTACCACTCTTGAGTATACACCCAAGGAACTCTTAATTCTACAACAGAGATACCTGCACATCCATGGTTATTGCTGCCCTCTTCACAATACCTCATCCATCAACTGATGAATGGGCAATGAGAATGTGGCCCCATTTAATGCAACAATCATGGACTTCTCTCTGTTGTTCTTTCCCATGTCTCACCCTTAGCTCATGCTTTGCCGTTTCCAGGGGATGCATTCTTTCCTTCTACCTGAGCTAGTGACAATGTGTATTTGAATTACTTCTCTGCCCCTGAGGCCTGGTGAGTCCTCCATTAAACCCTCACACAGTTCCTGGAACACATAACACAAGTGTAAAAGCATTCACCACTTCTCTCAGAGAGGGCTTTGCTTGACAGCACATACAGGCCTGGGACACTATAAAGATGTAGTTGTGTCTTCAGTAAATTTTTTTCTAAACAGTGGATTTTTAAAAAGCAGTCAACCAGAATCTTATTAAAATCCATACATTCAGATCTCATCTCTCAGAATCATATAGGAAAAATTCTGTCACAAAATGGGGAGGTGAGGAGTGGGTCTGTTTGATTCTTTAAAATTAGAGCATATGTAATTTGAAAATCATATTCAAATTGTAGTATTATATTGGGAAAAGGAAAGCATTACCAATTGCTCTTGAAATACAAGATATAGATGTGATATAGAAAGCTAATGTCTATCAAAGGACAGTACCGGTTTGGGTGCTGGAGAGATGGCTCAATGGTTAAGAGCACTGACTGCTCTTACAGAGTACCTGGGTTCGATTACCAGCACCCAAGTGGCAGCTAACAACAGTCTGTAACTCTAGTTCCAGGGAAATCTGATACCTTCGTCTGCCCTCCATTGGCACTACACAGCACAAGTGCACTTACATTCAGGCAATACACTCCTATACACACAAAAATTAAAATGATAAAATATCAAAAAAGACAGTACTGGTTTAATAGAGACAATGGTCTCATTCCTTATTTCAGTTCGGTGTTCAGTGGCTGAGTCATGTGTTTACTCATGAATCTCATCTCAAGCATGTTTCTAATTTATAAGAACTTAGTAGCAGTAAAGCAGACAATATTTTTGCCCTTTTATAGGTCCTAATGTGAGATGCTTTAATGAATCTGCCCTTAAATATACAGCACAAGATTAGGAATACAGAGTGTAGGGGTTAGATGGAACTAGCATTGTACTGAGAACAATATTGGTGGTTCCATTATTATGTATGACTCTGATTCTGTGAGTACTAAGTATGTATATTTCACTTACCAGTTTTCAGATTCACTCTCCTTATTTACATGGGGTGAAGTAGCATGTCTACTCAGTTAATCTCCCAGGTTAATAGTGTGGAATGTACTATACATATGAGCTTTGGAAAAATGTACACCACGGAGCAGTTCTGTGAGGATAGTAGACGACCAATGGAATCATTCTTTTGCCATGGAGTGGACTGCCTTTTTGGTGTCCTGAAGAGGGGCATATTCATGAAACTTATTGCAATAGAGCTTAAAATAATTCATGTCAAACTTTGTAGCAATTTCCCGAAAAGCTCCTAACAGATAGTACTTACAATGAATGCTCCCCAGAATGGATATCCTGTGAGGATCATGAGGGGAAAGTTTTTGGAGTAAAAGAGGTAATTAAATACTAGTATAACGCCAAGTCCCATGATGATCAGAGAAAGAAGAATCTCGATAGCCTGTAGGAAGAAAAGGTACATGAGGTGACCAGGGCCCCAGGCCCCATGGGCTGCCCCACACACACCTCTGAGTGCAGCACCCCTTCCCCTCTAAACATCTTCATTGTCTCCATCACGGAAAATCACTAGTTTATCTTGTACTAGACATACTTGAACCCATCTTACTGTCCCTGGGTTATAAACTTCTTGGGGATAGGCACTCCAAACTATTTCCTGTATATTCTTCCTTGTCTATAAGACATACACCTCATGATTATCTTCACAATCAATCTTCTTTGTACTTTCAACATTAAGCACAGCCATTCCTTGGTACTTATGGGAAAGTGGGTGAAAGGACTGGTTCTAGTTCCCTTATGGTACCAAAATCTGAGGCGGCCCAAGTCCTTTATATTAAAAGTGGTATAATATTTGTAGATAATCTATACACATCCTTATTTATACATTATTGAGACCAATTCTCCTATAGCCCAGACTGTTCTCAGTGTCACCATGTAGCACAGGATGACCTTGATTCTCTTTCCTCCATCTCCCCAAGTGCTGGGATTACAGGCATTTGCCACTACACCCAGCTTCTCTTATCTTTTAAATCACCAGATAGATAGTTCATGATGTACCAAGCAATAAGCATTGTGAATTTGTAAGCATTTTAGGCCTGGAAACATACAGGCAATATAAATTCTAGAAAGACTTTATTGTACTGTTTAGAGAACAGGCACAAGAAAACTGACTGCACGTTTAGTGTGTGCACAGTTCTTTCGAATACTTTCAATCTATGCTTGTTGAATCTGTCAACTGATTTGGAGTCAACTGATGTGCTTTAGGATTAAGCTCCTCTCAGTTACACCTAGGAAAGTCTGACATCACCCATAGTGGCTTCATAGCTCCATGAGAGGCACTACTACATCCTGAGGTCACTTCTCCAATTACACCAGTTTCCTGCTATCCCTGTGCTGGAAATCAAAGAGTGGTTCTAGATCCTTGTGAAATAGCCTTACGATATTCCTGGAGTTAGATGAGATATTGAAATATTCTACTCCTAAGAACTAATTAACCCCTCATCTGAGACATTTGTAAGACCCACAGCAAATGATGTGCACTTCTAAACAGAACTTCAGCCTCTACTTTTAATACAAATCTAGGGAAATGACATTATTGGATGTATAATGGCTCTTCTGCTGAGATCCAATGCTGTGTTCAAGCAAATTACTTTAGATGTGCTGGTTTGTTATTTTTTGAAAACTTCACACGTGCATGCAGTGTATTGTGGCTGTGTTTACTCCCACAGCCTTCTCTTACCCCTTGCTCATCCTGGCTGAGCCCCCATTGTTTCCAAAACATCCTCCTTCCACTTTCGTGTTTTTTTGTGACTCACACCTTTCCCTCTAGCAACCATTCATTGTTAATAGCTTTTTAGAGAGGGATGGGGACTCATGTGCTGTTCTGACTCAAGAAGGATGCATTGCAGATGAAAAGCCAGGGCAGAAAGGAAAAGGTCACACCCCTCCCTGAACATCATTGCACAATAGCATCTCTATAGACAAACATGGAGACACAGTCCCTTTACTCCCCTCCAGGATGACCCACAATTATACAGAACTCACCCCCAAAACTTTTGGCTCCC